TCCTACTTGAGGTCTGTCCTCAGCAGGGACCTTGCACTCTGAGCTGGGAGTGCTGGGAACCAGGCCTCCTCACTAGAATCATAAAGGTGATGAATGTGTTCCTCATATTCACCCGTGTCTTACTGAAGAGTGAGTGTCAGCAAATAGGGCCCCACACTGGGCAACCACACGTGTGGGGATGGTACTTGCCATTAATGAAGCAAAACACACTTCTACCTGGGCTTGCAACCCTCAGTGAGACAGGACACTCAGCCCCCACCCCTTCCTTACCTGAGAGCTTCCACCTCGTCCACATCACAGCTCCAGTGATCACAGCTTCAAAGATGACCAGGCTCACAATAAAATCCACTAGGGGGATGATGCCCGAAGAAGACGGCTCTTGGAAGGGAAAGGGAGGTGAGGGCCCTGACCCCCAGGCCTCAGCCCCGACCCCACTAAAGTCCTCCTCAGGCCCCTGCTTCCATGAGACCAAGCTTTGTGCCCACACCCCACCTCACCCCATCTCAGAGTCAGGGGCTGGGGCAACCCCTCATGCTCCACATGGCACGTGTATCTCTGCTCCTCTCCAGAGAGCACCACCAGGGACGCCCACTTCTGGAAGGTCCCATCTCCCGAAGGCCTGGTCTCCACAAGCTCCATGTCCTGGGTCTGCTCCTCCCCATCACGCTGCCAGGTCAGGCCGATGTCCGCAGGGTAGAAGCCCCGGGCCCAGCACCTCAGGGTGACCTCGCGGTCAGAGATGGGGTGGTGGGCCACGTGTACCTTTGGAGGGTCTGAGGAGAAGGGTGAGGAAACTCAGGAACTTGGCATGGTCAGGGGACTCTCCAGCAGCGCTCATGTGACCATGAGAGTGGACAGGACACCTGGGGTGGGCGAGGGAGCACACAAGCAGCCATCAGCCTGGACAAAGCATCTGGGGATGATTTCTAGTCTTTAGAAAGTTCTAGTCAGAGGGACACAGCCCAGGGTGGGAGACAGGCCTCAGGGGGAGAATTGGATTTCTGGTCCTGTCCTGGGTGGAGGGCAAATGACTCAGAGAAGTCGCGGTCAGACCTCAAATCCACTGGGTGAGGGAGGGAACAGGGCCTGAGAGAGCAAGTCCCCATGTGTTTTAGAGCCACTGCAGGCTAATGGGAACCCTGATCAGTTATTTCAGGCTTGGCCTCCCCTGTAATTGTCTCTGAGAGACTGCACCCAAAGTGTCCCTGAGAGAAGGGTGGGCGTCCCTGGATCTGAAAAGCCAGCGGACTCAGTCTCCTGGCCCAAAGGAGGGGTGTTCTGACACTGACCCTGTGTCCTGTCTCCTTGTGGAGCCCCAGCCCCAGGGGAGAGGAGGGAGGCCCCTGGGCCCTGGTACCTGTGCGCTGCAGCACCTCCTTCCCTTTCTCCAGGAATCTGCTCAGCCACTCCAGGCAGTCCTCATGCAGGAAGTGTCTCCATTCCTCAGCTACACCTGCAGCCTCCCACTTGCGCCTGGTGATCTGAGCCGAGGTGTCAGCTGCAGTCCAGGAGCGCAGGTCCTCGTTCAGGGCGATGTAGTCGGTGCCATCGTAGGCGGACTGGTAATAACCGCGGAGGAGGCGCCCGTCCGGCCCCATTTCACAGCCGATCATCTGCTGGAAGGTGTGAGACCCTGACCCGCCCCGAGGTCAGTGTTACCCACTGAACCCGCTCCCGCCCCACCCGCGGGGATTAAACAGAAACTGAAAGTAAAACCGGGTCCAAGTCCCAGGGCTCCTCCGGGTGTGTGTATGGGGGTCGGGGGTGGGGGAGGGGGTTGGGGTGAAACTCTCACTGGGACACTTGGGGCGACACCCGGCGGTCCGTGGGGATGGGGGCCGGGACCACCCGGACCCGTTGGCTCACCGTCCTGGCTCTGGTTGTAGTAGCGGCGCAGGTTGTGCAGGTTCACTCGGGAAGCCTGTGCGTCTCTCTTGGCGTTCTGGGTGCTCAGGTCCCAATAGCCCGGCTCCTCCCGCTCCATCCAGCGCGCCCGCGGCTCCGCCCTCCGACTCTCCGAGTCGCTGTCGAACCGCTCGAACTCCGTGTCGTCCAGGTAGCTGACATCCAGGTACCGGGGCTCCCCTCGGCTGGGCCGGGACACGGCGGTTTGGAAAAATCTCAGCGAGTGGGGGCCTGGGGGCCGGAGCGGAGGGGCTGACACCCGCGACCCTCCTCCTGGCGCGGGTTCGGGGTCCGGGTGGGAGGGACAGGAGAGGGGAAGGGGCTCGGAGGGGAAACAGGGGCAGCGGGACAGAGAAGAGAGGGGCTAGGACGGGGTGGGTGTGGGGGATGGGAGGTGGAGACGCCCTGTCCCTGGTCCTGCTCCCTCGCCGGGTTCCCCAGTTCCTCCTCCCCAGAGGAAACGGGGGCAGTGGGACAGAGAAGAGAGGGGTCAGAATGGGGTGGGATGTGTGTGGGCCATGGAGAAGCCCTTTTCAGGGTCCTGCTCCCCCGCCGGGTCCCCTCGCTCCTCCTCCCCAGAGGCCATTCCCTCTGGACCCCGCACTCACCCGCCCAGGTCTCGGTCAGGGCCAGGGCCCCCCAGCCCAGCAGGAGGAGGGCTGGCGATGCCATGAGCAGCATCCTCCAGGTCTGCGGAGTATGTAAGTCCTCGTGAAGCCCATTAGACTTATAACTTGGGGTGGAGGCGATCCTGATTGGCTTCTCTAGCACCTGCCACCCAATGGGAGTGAGAACTGGGGATGCGTTATCAGTATCTATGAGGAAGGACCACACACAGGTTGTGAGAGGGAGAAGTGAGACTGCAGGGAGGTGGGGACTCCCCAACTCTGAGCTTCCTGCTTCAGTCTCCGCCCTGGGGCTGTGACCCTGAGACCAGGCCTGGGACCTGGGACTTTGCCCTGACCCTTCGCCCCTGCACAGAGACCTCCTGTCACACAGTCTCCCTCAGTCCTGCCCAGGGGCTGTGTGAGAACCAGGGAGACTCCCCAGGCTGGGACCAGCCCTTTCCTCCCCTCTCCTCCTGGAACCCCTCTCCCTGAAATGGACTCTGCCTCCCACCCTCACCTCTGCCCTGGACACTTCTAGAGGAAAGCTCACCCTGGGAACTTGATGCCAGAGAGTGAGCTCCCTGTGAAAGGAGGGAGGGACAGGGTTTCCTCTGTAATCCTGGAGGGCTTGGGCCTGAAAAGACCAGTGAAGGACAAGGGTGGGGGTGTGGAGTGGAGGTGAGGGGCCTCAGTCTTCCGAACCCTGAATATCAGGAAACTAATCTGTAAAATGAGTGACTTCAGAAGTTTCCTATGAGAAGTGTCCAAATAGCCCTGCCATCAGAGTTACAAAGCTCCCAATTCTCCTTCCCACACAGGAAGTGTGTGAGTGGGGACTGTTGCATTGTGAACGATCTGCGTTCTCCAGCCCTGAGTCTGTCCCTGTGAGTCCCCCACCCCCTCCCTACATGGAGCCCAGGGAGCGGTGTGCTCCTGTGCATTCCAGCAGGAGCAGGAGCCTCCTCACAGTGGCAGTGCTCAGTGGGGTCAGAGTGCCCTCCACCAGCGCTCCTGCACTGCCCATCTGTATGAATTACTCACATGTAAGCCGTGTGCACATTTTATTGGGACACATTATTATTATTATTATTATTATTATTATTATTTTATAAACATTGGTTTTACTATTATTATACCCACTTTCCAGACAAGGAAACTGAAGCACAGGGATATTGAGTAAGGTGCTTAAGGTCACACAGCTAATAAATATTTAGATGTTTGAAATGGCTTTGAAATGTAGATAGTGTTTCATGGGACCCAAGAAGGTCAGCATAACCCTGAGCAGGTAACTTTATATCCTTCATGTGGACATGTTCCATGTGCCCAGTGAGGGAAATCACTTTTATAAATGACCTCAAATTCCCTTCTCGCCTCATCTCTACTGGATCCTGCTGTTATGTTCATGCAGGAAGCCTCATTACTCAAAGTTGTTCAAAGCAAACGTCACCTGTTCCCTTTAGTTTCTACTCTTCTCCTGGTGAAATTGCATAGGCACCTGCTGTGAGGACAGGAAAAAGGCCTTTCTTTCTCTCTGCAGTGGCCTTCCACAACTTATGAGATGGCACCTGGTAATTAAACCCCAAGTGTTTAGCTCCTCTGATTCCAACAGCTCAGCAGGACCAAGATAAGCTACTCTCCAGGCTACATTCTCCCACTGCCTCCTCGTACCTACTGTTCTCACAACTCAGAGACAATCAGCACCAAGGAGTCTCAAGTTAGAAAATTCCCTCCCCCTGTCCCCTTCAAACAAGCCTCACTTGAACTCTTCATAACCTTTGCTATAAGCTGTGGAGGCTTGGGGGGAAATACTGATGAGACACCCCCTTAGGACATCTGCCAGACTGTCTCCTGGGAAGCAAAGGAAATGTAACTTTTCAAGACAACCTCCAGATATCTGCTCATCCTCAGAAGAAGTCCTCTCCCTTCACTGTGGCTTAGCAAAAGGCCTCTGCTCAGTAAGAGCAGGAAATCCTTTATTACAGGCCCTTTCCTCCCTTGGAAAGTAAACTAAATTTCCTCTCGGCCTCTCTCTCTTCTCTCATTGGTGAATTCTTCCACAGACCACATCGCTGGCCAAACCCTAACACCTTTCTGGCTGGATCCTTTGTTCTGTGCCTGTTCCATGAGGGGCTCCAGTCCCTCACTGCTGCAGCTGCCCCAACAGGGAGCTCCCAACATCTAGCCCTTGAGCTGTGGCTCTGCCCCGCCCTCTAGTGGCAGAGACGTGCCAGAGCAGCAGCCGCTCTGCCTTTCAGCTGCAGAGGCTCCCAGAGAGGAAAGGCTCAGTAGGGCTCTGCCAGAGCTCTTGCTTGATGCAGGTTTCTTGCCAGAAGAGGACAACTTTAATGGGCAGCAGCCGTCTTGGGCCCTGGTTTAAGTCAATGTAGCACATCCTGCTGCACAGAACAAGGCACTTTGGAGTGACAGTTACGGGACCGGTCCCTTGCCATGAGCCCATCATTCAGCACACTGGAGGGAGGGATTGCTGAGTATTGGAGAGGTGTGGCCCAGCCAGATCCCCATCTTCACCATCACCTCTATCTCTATCCTCCTCTCACACTGTGTCCTCATGGGAAATGTATCAATCAGAGAAGGAGAAAGAACAAGAGAGAGAGAGAGAGAGAGAGAGAGAGAGAGAGAGAGAGAGAGAGAGAGAGAGAGAGAGAATGGAATTCAACCTTCCTTGGCCTTTCTGCTCTATTCAGGCTCTCAGCGGGTTGGATGGTGCCCACCCACCCAGACAGGGCAATCTGCTTTGCTCAGTCCACCAAGCCAAATGCTTACCTTCCTGGAAACATCCTCACTGACACCCAGAAATAACATTTCACCAGATTACTTGGGCGTCCCATGGCCCAGGCAAGTTGACATACCAAGTTACCCATCTCAGGGGAAAGTTATTTGAAAGACTGAGTAACAGGACAAAAGCAAGTAATGTGTCAGCCTGATAATGAGAGGAGGTAACTGGGAGCAAAAGAAAGTCTGCAGATGCTCTAAGATGAAGAATTCCCAGTTGCTGTCCCCACAGGTTCCCTAGAAGAAAGCACAGCTGCGCTGCCTCCCACAGGCCAGGATGAAGCCAGAGGGAGCTTGGGAGGCTGAGCATCTCCCCCTGCTGTTCAGAGGTGAGGCTGGGACCCCAAGGGGAGGGCAGAGCAGTCACAGAGCATCCTGAGGGAGGACCTGACTGATGTCCGGCTGAGGGGGAGCTCTAGGAATGAAAAGGTGACTCAGGAGAACAGTAAAAATAAATATTGTGCAGCATCCCCAACCCCCTTCATTTTTATTTTAAGGTCATTTTATTTGTGATGACAGGTAGTACCTACAGAACGCTGAAGATGGAAGGAAAAGCTACCTAGAATTTTCAATCATTCCTGGGGCTCATGAGAAGAAAGTAGTGATGCCCATATTCTAAAGGGAATTTTTTGTTTCCTCTATGAAATATGACCAGGACCCATAACAGTTAATACAAAGGCTTCCACCCTGAATTCACATCAGATTTAAGAGCATTTTCAAACATGAAACCAGAATGAAGGAGGGGTGGTGGGGCTGGTCATTTGTGTTTTTCAGAAGCTCCCCCAGGGAGGGTGCAGCCAGGATGGAGAACCCTGTGTTAGCATGTAGCACTCCAGCACACAGTGGGATGAAGTCATGGGGGGTGGAGAGAAAGCTAAGTGTACAGGTCTGCCCAGCATGTAGGCCTTACAACTTTCTTTCAACCTCATCTCTGGTGCTTGAAAAGTGATGTGGTCTGCTCTGCCCTCTAGTGGTGTTCAGGTTGCAGAACACCTTCAAAGAGGGAATTACTACTATGTAATTTTACTTAGAAAAAATGGGAAGAAGATGCAAACAGGCAATTCAGAAACGATGGTCCCAAAACTGAAATATTAGGGAAAACACGCAACCCTGAAGAACTGCCTGTGCCTTAATTTGTGACAGCCTGCTTGTCTTGTCCTCCATCGAGTCAGCACTGGCTGTCCTGGGCTCTTCCTCCTCACCAAACCAGTGATGCCTGAAACAACTCTTTACCTTCTACAGCTGGATGGCTAGAGGCATATTTCACCCACAACTGCAGACTGAGAAAACCCACCTTGTGACGGTGGATTTAAGAACTAGGAACCTAACAAATGACTATCAAGCAGAGAATGGTGATTAAAAGCAAATATTTCGGAGCTATTGAGGGGCGAAGAGGTAAAGTCTAATAATGTGACGATGACGAAAAGGAAGCCCTTGCGCTGCAGATGGGGTGGGACATGGACTTGACCATCAGAAGTGCGACTGGGTAATAGCTTGTGGAGCCAAAGAGACACCTGACCGTCAACACAGAAATGCCACTTTGAAGTAGAAACTGTACAGAGATTCTCACACTGTCTACAATAAAATCCAACCTTTTATGTGTGTGTTTTAAATTCCAACCTGTTGAGGCTCAATATTTTTATAAAATACAATAAAACTGAATGAAACAAAAAATATAAAGACAGACCTAAATGAAAAGCCTGAGTAGTTTACATTCTCTGACCCAATGGACATAAAGGACTCGGCTGAGCTGCTTGCACAGTTTCCAGATGCTGTTCTCGGTTTCTGCCCTCACCGGGGCCTGGGCCGGAAGGAGTGCGCTGTCCCCAGTGTGAGGAGCAGGGCCCAGGCCACGCCAGCCCACAGCAACGAGGAGACGCACTGAAGGAAGGGTGTTCACTGCAACACTATTTTAAATGTAAAATTTTAAAAATTCATTCTCACAGGGGACAAAGAGCAAGATAGTCAGCCAATGAAATACAACACAACAATGAAAATGATTGAACTGGATGTACACATATTAACGGGGATACATCTTGAAACCAAAACACAGAGTGAAAAAATAATCTCCAAAGAATATTTCTTGTATAATGCCATTTATATAAACATCAAAAATAGTCAAAGTGACACTGGATAAAAGTCTTATGGATATTAAGGATCGGGAGATGACACACCATCTTCAGGTCAGTGATTTTCCTCTAGGAGAGTGTGAGAGAATGGGAGACTAGGGAACTCGGATTTCATCTGTAATGTCTTATTTCTGCAAAGCATTGAAACGAACAGTGTCTAATATAAATATTTGCTAAATGTGGGCATTAGGTTCACGGGTGCCATGTTATTTCCCTTTTTAAAATGTTTGAATTACTTCGTTATTTATAATTTAAAAAGACAATGAAAGCAGTTCAAAGAAATGCAGTATGTCTTTGAAAAACTGAAACGGTTGTGTGTATCCAAGTTTATTTGGCAGAACACAAGTAGCTTTAGAGATATAGACTTAATTTAGATTTTAGGTTCACATAAAAATTGAGGGGAAAGTAGGGAGATGTACATGCCCCACCCCTACTTGCTAATGACCCTCTCCCATCTCCCATTAAGAACACACACCTTTCCCCAGAGGGGTACAACTGTCACAACTGGTGAACCCACACTGACACATCACTCCAAGTCCACAGTTTAAACGAGGGTTCACTCTTGGTGTTGTTCACTCTATGGTTGGACACATGTATTAATTATGAGGTTTTCCTTACAAAGTTCTGTCTTAAAACTGGAATTATCCACAGACTCAATGGGAAAAGCTGCTCCCTTCTGAACATAGGACATGTGTGTCTCTGCCCCAGCTCTTCCTGTGCTAATGCGAATATCCATGTTTCCAATTACAGAGGGAAGCAGGCCACCTCCTCCCAGCCCTCTTCCTGAAGGAAGCCAGCCCACAGATGCAGGGAATCCACTGAGGCCACAGTGATTGTTCCTGAAACGCCTAGTGTTAGACATTCTCTCCATCAGCAAAGTCACAATCATTGTGAAGCAACAAACAGGAACCAGGGTATGGAACCTGCCCCTTGCTTCTGCAGGTCTCGGTTTGAACTCCATGTAGCCCACACTGCTGCTGCTTGAAAATGAGGCTTGAAAATCTCTGGCCCATAGGAAGTTGGGAAAGAGCCCTGGCCATGAGTCAGCAGATCTCTCTGTGTGAATTCCAGCCTTGGCCTTGGCTGTGACCTTTGTGACCCTGGGGGTACGTTTATTTATCTCCAAGTAGGGGGAAGAATAAATTACACATATAGCATCCCCAACACAAGATGGACCCAAACAGTTCCTTAAACATATTATTTTCTTTCACCATCCTTAACCACCGAGGCACAGGGCATAAGGGACTGTATGCTTGCCTGGATGTGGTGAGGCAAACGGGGGACCAATAATTGCCATAGAGTCAGACAGGGACCAATGTGGACACATTCTGAGTACTCTGAGGTAACTGAAGAAGCAGCAAGTAACTATTATGCTATGTGGCCATTTAGCCATTCCAGATTTCAGTGTATTCCCTTACAGAATGGTTGTCTGCTTACCATCTACTCATTCAAAAGTGAAAGCATAAAAATGAAAGTGTTCGGCCTGTCATAAAGTATTGTACCAATAGGAGGCATTGCTCAATTTGCCCTCCTACTTGCCTCACCCAAGTGCCACGTGGTAGGGAGGCTAAGGCCTATGTTACCTGGCAAGAGGAATTTGGGTGGCTCACTACCTGTCCTGAAAGTAAGGTCAGTGTGGGTGAGCCCAGTATGGGTACAAGTGTCCTTTGAATGTGGAAGAGGGAGGCAGAAGTTCAGGGTCAGAGAAAATTTTGAAGATGCTCTCTGCTGCCCTGAAGACAGAGGAAGGAACGAAAACCCAATGGAATGCAGGTAGGCCCAAGCAGCTGGTAAAGGCAAGGACACAGATCTGTTCTAGAGTCTCCAGAATAGGTGTGTGAGCCATGCTTAGCATGGCCAGGGGTGAAGGATTAAAGAAGAACACAGGAGAATAAAGCTGGGGTAGGTGGGACACTATTCTCAGATGGAGAGACCGTGCCACAACCTGCAAGCAGAATCTTTATTTTATAGACAGATTTTATGCAGCAGAGTAAGAGCATGGTCAAGATGTTTGCAACGTTCGTGCAGGTTTAGAATCTACTCAATTACATGCACCTGAACTCTATCAAGCTTTGTTTTGGCAGCTCTAGCTGCACCCCCTGCAGCCTATATCACTTAGTCACCTGAGACCACAGGTTCATACCATAAGGTCAAGCTCACAACTATAGCCTTTGGCTATAATGTGCTGGGAGGGCTTTGTCTTCCAAGCTGGGACTTACAGGTGGCTTTATGACCAGAAGACCTTGCCCTACCATTAGTCGAAAGCTTGAACCTGTCCCAATGCTGTAGCCACTCTGTACAAGTTTGATTTTAGCTTAGACTCATTTCAGACTCTAACCTCCAGAACTGTAAAACAATACATGCGTGTTGTTTTTTAAGCCATTTAAGTTGGAGGTAATTTGGTAACCGTGGCAACAGGAAACTAATACAAACCCCAGGCTCAGTCCTCGGTAGACAGCAGCATGAAGGATGGGTGACTGTAGAAGGCAGCCCAGAATGTGAGTCCTGCTTTTCTGCTTTGAAGTGTCACTGTCACCACAATGAAGACACTGACTGAAAAGGGCCCTGTCATGGTCTACCAGGAGGATGAGGCCTTTCGTTAAAGCTCTGGATCCATCTGATTCTGGCCCATCTCCACACACCAATGGCCCTGTATATCCCATGATGGACACTGAGCATGGATGCCCCCCAACAGTCCCAACTCCCATCCCTCCTTTCTTTTAAGCCAAATACTGTGCACCAGCAGTCCTTAATTTCTCCTGATCCTTATTTCAGATGTTTAGAGCCACTTGATAATCTTGTAATTATCCCTCAGGATATAGATGGAAGGTTCTGTCATGTGGCAAATTAAATTTGGAATGCCAGTTCTTCACTTTTCTGTAGTAGCATCCACAGCTACCTCATGGGAAGGCAGAGTATACCTCCCCTGTCCATTGACACTGGGCTTGGCGTGCTATTTGCTTTGGTCAATGGCATTGAATGACTGCAGCAAGAACAAAGACTTGAACAATTTTTGCACCATTAGGTGCTCTGTCTCTTGACTGACCTTTATCTATGACAGAGATGGGGGACTTTTTTTATGCCAAGGGCTCTTTGGGTATTTGTATAATAGCATCATTCTTGGGCCATACACAATCAGCCTGCTATATTTGGCCAACCATTTAATGTACTCACCCCTAATACCTTAGCAGGGTCAGACCAAATAATTTTGGCCCTTGGGCGGGATGGTCCCCAACCTTGATGTATGGGAACATAATCTGATCCCCAACCTTGATGTATGGGAACATAATCTGATCTAAGGAGGATGAGAGCTGTGAGAAGCAAACCCAAGCCCAATGTGCAGCATGGAGCCTGGAGCTCAAAGCCTGCAGCTGAGCACAGCCATGGATTTGGCCATCATCTTGCAGACCGTGAGCCTGCAGATGACTGTTTAAGCCAGTGTGTCTTTGAGCAATTTAGTGTATAGCATCACTGTGGCAATAGCTGACTGATATACCTCTCCCCCTTAGAGCTGACCACATCCTCCTTTGATGTCTCTGTCCCTAATTGGACTGAAAGTCCTTGAGGGCAGACACCAGATGTTTGTTGATTTTATATTTTCAACCTCTAGCATGATGCTCAGAATATAGTAGGCTCCTAATACTTTTTTTTTGTTTTTAGTGAAAAGATATAATTAAATAAACTAATGAATGAATAGAAGGAACATACTATTCCAGGTTTGTGACCTTGAAGTAGGGGCAGGAGGAAATCACAATTAATGGGCTGCTGCAAACATCATTAAATACATAAGGGCCAAGCTTTGTTGGTTGGCTGCATACATCATATTTTTCAGGTATCCACAAAAGTTGTTGTGGATAATGAAATAAAAAGTGTATTTCAAAGTAACAAATGTGCAGTTGCTTGTTATTATGTATTTCCTTAAATAATGTCTTCAAAAAGAACATGTCATTTCATATGAGGAATGAAGAGTTTTGACATTCAAAAGAGGCCCACTTGTTCCAAAATGCTAGGAACTACTGTTCTAGACCATTCCTTTTAAAGATGCTGTGGAGAATTCAGCACTGTGTGAGGCTTTCTTCCTGTTGACTGGTAGTCAAAGCAACAGTGCCTTGGCAGGCCTGTCTGTCGCTTATTCTCTCCTGAATCTCCACATTGCTGCACATTTACATCACGAGGGGAGGGCTACTGTCAGACTTCAAGACAGCTCACAGAAAATTATAAGCTTCCATCCTCTCTCCACCCTTCCTATCACGAAACTGTCACATCACTGCTCTTTCCAGCTCAACCTTTGGTTGTAATTATAGTCATTGCCCTAAGAATTCTTTCAAATGACAGGCTTACTTCATAGGGAGAAACTCACACAAGAGACTGTCAATACAGGAGCAATGAGGGATCACTGATAGTTGGAACACTGATAGTTTAAAACATGGAAATGGCACAGGGAATGTGGCAGGGACTTGAATTACACCATGTGCCTGTGTCCGAAATATTTATAGTAGCAAAGAGGTGTCTATACAGCTGTCGAAGCTCTTTCTCTTTAAATTTGTTTGCTTTATCTCAGTCACTTAAAGGATGACATCTCTAATCTGTGGGTGGATACTAGATAAATCATTTAAGGATTTAAATGTTATGGGAGTGAGAGTGGAGGTTGAGAAGAGGTTAGCAATAGACCAACGTGACTTCACTTAGAACAGTGGTTCTCCAACCTCCCTAATGCTGCAACCCTTTAATACAGTTCCTCATATTGTGGTGACCCCCAACCATAAAATTATTTTTGTTACTACTTCATAACTGTAATTCTGCTACTGTTATGAATAGTAATGTAAATATCTGATATGCAGGATGTTTTAGGCCAGGGGTCTGCAAACTCATTAGTCAACAGAGCCTACTACCAACAGTGCAACAATTGAAATTTCTTTTGAGAGCCAAATTTTTTAAACTTAAACTATATAGGGAGGCACATTGTTAGTAATTTAATTAGGGTACTCCTAAGTCGGCCTTTGCTAGAGGGGCCAAAGAGCCACATGTGGCTTTCGAGCCGCAGTTTGCCTACCATTGTCTTAGGTGACCCCTGTGGAAGATTGTTCCACCCCCAAGGGGTCTCAACCCACAGGTTGAGAACCGTTGACTTAGAATCTATCTGCTCACAGGTGACGCTCAGTGTGTTGACTTAAGCCAAGAGGCAGGCACAGCTCTCTGGGGCCCATGGAACCACCAGTGGTCTCTGGAAAGGATGTTACGTAAGTATTTGTTGAGGCCCACGTACATGAATGAACGCTTCACTCTCATGCTCCCTTGAACACCCCATGCTCCTGTCGCCATGAACTGCTGGCTATTTCCCAGGCATCATGCCTCCTCTTGCTGTAACTTCTGGCTGCCTTATCTCCCCATGCAGCCCACTGTTGCCTGGCCAGTTCTTATTCAACCTTCAAGTCATGGCTCAAGCTGCATGCTCTGGCAGTTCTGTATGTGCATATAATGGCACTAACTCATTATGTTGTCTTCTCCCAACTCAAGTGTCCGAACCATCAGTTTTAATCACCGTGGCTAAGCAACTGGCTGGGTGCCTGACAGACACACCCCAGGTATTCTGTAAGAGACCACCCAATAACCTTTATGCTATTCGACTTCTCCAGTGCTTCCCTCGCTGGAGGACATCTCTTCTATAATTCTTTACTGAGGCACCTTCCTTCTCTGGAATACACCAGGTGACCCTTGCCCAGAACTGACCAGGCAGCTAGAGGAGTAAGACATTGTTGTGATGGGTTAAGAGGATGAGGCAGGACCATCCAAAGAAGTTTAGCTGGGGAATGACATTATCAGGCCTACCTGTGGGAAAGAAACATTATAGTTTGGAGGGAATAACATTTTCAAGTAGACAAGAAGGTCATTGTGATAGTCCAGAGAAAAATGATGGCAGATGACTACAGTTATTAAGTGAGATCTGGGCAGTGGGAATAGAGAGGTGGGGATATATATTATATTTGTCAGATGACAATTATAGGATTTGGTGGCTGACTTAAAATGGCACAGAGGATGGGAGAAGTCTAGGATGACGCTAAGGCAGTCAGCTCAGGCAAACTGCGTGTCCTTCAAGACAATAGGGGATACGAGAGGATTAGGTCCAGTGTAAGGGGAAGGGTCCTGGGTTTAGTGTTGGTTTTATTGCAAACAATGCACCCGTGGATCATCCAGAAGAGAAGTGTCAACTAGTGGACAGCTCTGGAGCTCTGCAGAGCCATCTGGACTGAAGATACATATTTTAGATTAGCAAGCAGCTGGAAGTTGAAGGTTATGACTTACATTACCCAAGGACACTGAATGGAGCAGGGGCTCTGTGGGGCTGTGGTAGGAAGGGGTTACCTGGGAGTTTCCCTAATTGAAAAATGTCAGGGAGTTGACGTAAGAGACAAGCCTGCCCTTGCTTCATGTGTGGCAGCAGTGTTAAACACGTGAGAATCCTTGAGAGTGTAGCACCCTCCCCCCCGGGTGGCCATGTATAACTGACTCTGTGTGTGTCTGATATACCCTTGTGAACCATCTGTCACACTGGATGCACCTGCTCACTTGCCTTTCCTGGTGGATTCTGGTCTATTGGAGGGCAGGGATTTTATCTTGCTCGAATCTGTGTCCTGGGACTTAGCACACAGGAGTCAAATGTTTCATGAGTCACATGGTCTCTGACATTGTACACGTGAGGTCAGGAGGCACATGGGACTAAGTAACTGGTCCTGTGAGACAGCTAACAGAGGGTGTGGCGAACGCCTGGCCCCGAGGCCAATCCAGTTGCTTGGACTCTAGCATTGCCTCTGCTCATTCCTCAACCTGCCACCGCCATCGAGAAGCGGGAGGAAGGTCATTCGGCAATAGCATCTGGCTGCGGCCTTTCTGGAGGACCTTGTCAGGTTAAAAGGAAAGATGCACCAGCTAGGACTTGTGTGGGTTGCCTTCTCATGCCCGACTTCTGGAAATGTCAGGTGAAAGAATAGGAAGCTAGGGCTTCTTCACGCCCGACTCAGTGCACAGACGCTCAGTCTAGATGGGAACACAGGAGAAATGACTAACTGGAGGAGAAGCGTGTGTCATAGCTCTTGATAAGCCTCACCCCTGTTATCAGATTAGAAAAGGGGTTTGCTTTCACATGCATCTTGTATGAATAATACAACTTCTTTTCAAACAGGAAATTAAAACCTTTGCTGCTTTTTCAGACTCCCCTGAACCAAAAACTTGATATGTGGATGCTGTATTTATTGTAAAAAAATATACACTAAGAAAAAACACACAAAAAAAATGTTGAGGAAAAAAAGTGGGGGCAAACTGCAACTCTCGAGCCACATGCGGCTCTTTGGCCTCTTGAGTTTTTAGCAAAGGCCAGCTTAGGAGTACCCTAATTAAGTTAATAACAATGTACCTACCTATATAGTTTAAGTTTTAAAAAATTTGGCTCTCAAAAGAAATTTCAATCGTTGTACTGTTGATATTTGGCTCTGTTGACTAATGAGTTTGACAACCACTGCTCTAGAGCAAAGGCTATTTTAGTCACAGGGTCCAAGTAACAATGCATATAGCACGCAGGCAGCACTCATGTGCCAAGCCCTATCATAATTACTTTCCATACATTTTTGTTTATTTATTTATTTTATATATATATATATATATATATATATATATATATATATATGTATATATTTACAGAGAGGAAGAGAGAGGGATAGAGAGTTTGAAACACTGATGAGAGAGAAACATTGATCAGCTGCCTCTTGCACCACCCCTACTGGGGATGTGCCCACAACCAAGATACATGCCCTTGACCGGAATTGAACCCAGGACCTTTCAGTCCGCAGGCTGACGCTCTATCCACTGAGCCAAACCGGTCTTGGTGACTTTCCATACATTTTTTTTCCTTTTCATTTTAGTCTTTTTATTGTTTATTTATTTATTTATTTACTAGAACAGTATTTTTTTAAATTAAATTATTATCTTTGTACATATAGCATTGCCCTCCCGCCCATACATGCCCCCCCCTCCCCAGAGTTTTGTGTCCATTGTTTGTACTTATATGCATGTATACAAGTCCTTCAGTTGATCTCTTATCTCCCCCAGATCTCCCTAACCTCCCCGCTGTAATTTGACAGTTTGCTTGTTGCTTTACTGTCTCTATATCTATTTTTAATATATATATTATTGTTGACAGTATTACAGATGTTCCCTATCCCACCCTTGTCCCACTCCACTCAGCCCTTGCCCCACCCCAGGTCTTCACCACACTATTGTCTCTGCCCATGGGTTATGCATATACATTTTTTGGTTAATCTCTTACTGACCCTTCCACTTGCCTCCTCTCTGAGATCTGTCAGTCTGTTCCATGCATCCATGCCTCTGGACCTACTAAAATATGTAGCATCCTAAACATGGGTTCTGGACCCAGTTTCCAATATGTGTATACATGGGGTAGGGGGGCGGATCCCTACACCAACAAGCAATTCTCGCGCTCTCAGCTGAGTGTCCCACAATTCAACTCAGTTCTGACACTACCTACCTGAAGACAGCATCCCATTCCACAGATTAGCTCCCCCATTTCCAACAAGCTCCCTGGGGATGCCAAGGCTACTAGCCTACAGACCAGACGTTGAGTTGAGAGAATCTATCGATAAGTGTCCTCAGCTGCGAGAGTTACTTTATTCCCGCTTGGGGCTCTGCCGATATCATAGTTCTCTCTCTGTCTCTGTAGCTTCTGTCACACTTCCAATCCCTGTATCTTCCTGTTGTTATTATTAACACTCACACAAGGATATTTTTTCCATTGATTTTTAGAGAGAGTGGAAGGGAGGGAGACAGGGGGAGAGAGAGAGAGAGAGAGAGAGAAAGGGAAAGCATGGACGTGAAAGAGACACATTGATTGATTGCCTCCTGGACACGTCCCCTCCAGGGTGGGGGATGGCACCTGCAACCCAGGCACATGACCTTGACCAGGAATCAAACCTGTGACCTTTGGTGCAAAGGCCTAGGCTCTTACCAAAAAGAGCCATAGACAATTGTTTCTATCTAAATTCCAAATTCCAAAAGAGAAAAGATTGAATTGACTTATCTCAGGTTGGTGGAAATATAGGCACCTTTAAAACTATTCTTTGCATCTTCTCAATGCTCATTAATGAGCCGATATTACTTTTATAATCAGAAAAAAACACACACTTATTTTCTGCTATCTGTACCTAAAAATATTATCTATCATCTTGACTGCCTTGTATGCCTTGCTGGCCAAAAATGAAAGTTCTTCAGAAACCCATGGAGCTGGAGAGAAAAATACAGGTTTAGGAAGCAGTGACTAGAACCCAGGGCAATGAAGGACACAGCCAACATGGCCAGCATCTCTGGAAGGAAATGCAGGATTCCTGAGTGCCTGCAAATTGCATGCAAAGA